CCAATAGGTCCGGCGAGGGTTAAATGGCCTCCTTACAATGAAATACCGAAAGATGAAATAATGAAATAATTATTGATGATTTCGACCACAGGTCATTATCAAAATAAGCCAGACAGAACTTTTGTCAGACACAATGGGAAGCTCACAAATATTGCTCACAAATATAGCTCACTTCTGCCGATATTGTGAGCTTCCCATTGTGTCTGACAAAAGTTCTGTCTGGCTTATTTTGATAATGACCTGTGGTCGAAATCATCAATAATTATTTCATTATTTCATCTTTCGGTATTTCATTGTAAGGAGGCCATTTAAAAGTGTTTTTTCTCATAGAACTTATACCTATGCCTTACATACAGCAAGTGCTTCAACAAGTTTCAATACTGTTTATTTAGTAATATAAACACGTTTGTATGTTTTTTATGTAGCAAAAGCCTAACATAAGTGGCATCCACACTTCATATATCGTTTCGTCCAGATATCACGAAGAACGACCAAGAACCGTGTATTTTTTTATGTCGCCAGAAGTTAAGAAAACGAATCAGAATATAACACCAGTCATGCAAATCTTACAATTATTCTCGTTTAATCTTATCTTACAATCACCTAATTCATTTATTGTCACCGTGGCAAAAGCCTAACATATGACATCCATACTTTGTACATCAATATCAATATCGTTTCGTCTCAGATATCACAAAGAATGACCCAGACCAAGTAGTTGAAGCACAAAAGCACACAGCTGGGCTCAGATTGAGGAATCTCAACCTAAACGTTCATTTGGTAATGGATATAAATATTAAGTTCCATTTACATTAGTGCCTTTCAAGTTTTAATTATTGCAATTACAATTAAGACTAGGTACCTAGATATTCTGAGCCCGTGAGGTAGATGTTGGCTAGCTTCATCTCAAGACATAATCAACTCCTGGGCCCTGTTTCACCGTCCGATGGCCGACGCTGCGCGCGCTGTGCTGCAGCATGCTGGGAGCTAAGGCATACCCTTGACGTCACTCAAAATTTGAATGATGTTGCGTACGATCCATTAACTTATGATAAATCTTGTTTGGAACAGAGGGCTATAAAAATATGGTGCGGAATTGAACAGAAGTTTGAGTGTGAATGCTGCTAACGTGCTGACAGCGCTGGCGGCATGGTGCGCTTGCATTTGTTTGATGTCATACTTCATAGCTTAGCGTCAGACAGGTGTCAGCGTCAGAGTGAAGTTTGTTGATATTGCCATGTAAACCCAACGCACTGACGCGGGCAGTGCACTGCAGCGGTCCGCCTTGAAACACTGCCCTGAAGTTGTTGGCATTGGTGATATAGTGATGCTATCCATCCATTCCACACAGTTGCCCATATTCAAGCCATTTTCTTTATTGTTTATCTCCAGATCAGGATTGGTCACTAGAAGCATAGATACATTGGTGCCTGCTTGTCCATTATTAATCTAATAGGTAGCTACATACTTTTACTGTTGGTAGGTATGTCATTAACCCGGCAGGCGGTGGGCCTACCAGCCACCTTCTGCGCGGTGGGGGGGGGGCACTTTTTTGCCCCCCCGTATCTCCGAAACTACTGGACGGATCCGGAAAATTCAAACGGCGTTCGATAGCCCTGTCAAATTTGTCGAAGGAAACCAAATTTCATTGACCTCGGGGTCACCGATGACGTCACAGGTCAGGTCAAAGATAAAATGTTTCACCGTTCACGGGGCTTCTAGGGAAAGCGCTATAACACCGAGTAAAACGCATTTTGTCGAAAATCAGCGATAAGGCGTCAGTTGTCTAGTACATATCTTGCTATTAGAGGTCACTGGTTATACCAGGTCAGGTCACAGGTCAGGTCACCAAAGGTCACCAAGGGTCACCACATGAGCCCAACTTTACTAAGGTTATGCGATGCATGTTTTATGGCCAGTTTTTCATTTCCAACTCAATGGTGTTGGTTATAAGACCATCAGGTACGGTTTAGGTCACTTTCTGGTGGAGGTCAGGTCAAGGTCAGGTCAAAATAGGTCAAATATCAAAGTTGATATTTTTGCATAAAATGGGTATCGATTCGATGCAGCTCGTCACGAGGAGTCTAATGGTGGTCTTTGTTTTGCGCTACGAGGTCTAGAATTGCTAAAAATAGAGTTTGAAAATTTGACGTCATCAATTTTGAACAGTTTTTTCGCTATAACTTGGCCAAAAAAAGAGGTATCGATTTCAAATTTGGTATGTAGGTAGAAGGCGGTAGGGGCTATCACATATATTCCGGTTTTTTCGAAAATCAAAAAACTTTTTGGATTTTTCGGCTATTATATTCAAAAAATATATTTTTTGATTTTTGGGGGTCAAAATCCAAAAAATTCGAAAAACCGAAATAGCAGTTTTGTAGCCCTTTCAACTCTACACCTTTTATGTCTGAAACATTTTTCTATATCTCTAAAGCTGTAGGCCTGACAGCTTTTCCCGCGAAACCTTTTTTTGGGTCGAAAATGGCAAAAATGACGTCACTCTGACGTCATTAGCGGCCAACCTATCATAGCTTTTGGAAAAAATTTTGGTCACCATGTGCGCTAGCTACTCCCAGGAAGGTACCGAAAGTTTGGTGACGATCGGCGCAGCGGTTCTCGAGATATATTGAAAAAACTAAAGGGGGGGGGGGCAAAAAATTGCCCCCCCCCCCCCCACCGCCTGGAAGGTTAACCATTATATGCTGGTGTCATTTTTTATTGAAACTGCTCTGTGACATACCTTGTACCTACCTTGTAACAGTAAATCACAAACTGCTTGAGTGTTTGTACTTCTGTCTTGATTGCTTCACCCCACTTAACCACTTTCAACAATCCACCTGTGTCCTGTTTCTCCCACATATTGAGAATAAAGGTTGCGGTGCCTACCTATTACCCAACTCAAACTGACCACTGACTACTGACCACCATTCCTTTTCAAAGACTGGAGCTCTGAAGACCAGACCAAGTATGCCATCCAATTGTGCAGTTGCAACATGTAAATCCTGGACTAAGGGTGCCAAAAAACGAAGCGACTTGGGTGTGTCTTTTTTCGGTTTCCTAAGGATCCAGCAGTCCGGGCAGCCTGGGTTCATAAATGTGCTCGTCAAGATATTTTGAACCCTGATACAGCATCCATCTGCTCCCTTCACTTCACCAGTGAAGATTATGACCCCTCCTACCTGGTGAAGAGGAGTCTCATGCCTAATACAAAGCCTTCACTGAAACCTGGTGTCGTTCCATCCCAGAATATTCCTTCACATCCTACCAGGTCTGTTACTGGTGATGGGAATAGCTTGCCTCATTTTATATCTTTATCACTATCATTCCTTGTCAACATTGTGTTCCCTATTGCCTACTGTATTAATTCATTTCTTTGCTGTGGAGTGGATAGTGGCATTGTACGGGCGGCTCAATGACTTACGAGTACGTGCCTCTCGGTATAGTGCAGCCGGCTCTTTGTGTGAACTTGACGACTTGTGGCATTGTACGGCCGGCTCAATGACTTACGTGCCACTCTGTATAGTACAGCCGGCTCTTTGTGTGAACTTGACTACTTGTGGCATTGTACGGCCGGCTCTGTGACTTATGTGCCACTCGGCAAGGGACGGCCGGCGGCTCTGTGTGTGTGTACTGGGCCACTTGGCACGGGACGTCGGGCTCTGAGTGTGTGTACTAAACCACTCGGCATGTGACGGCCGGTTCGTGTAAGTACTGTGCGATTCTTTGTGGGCCCACCTGCTAGTGCTGTGTGTAACGGTCGTCCGTAATTTTTCAACTAATAATATCTTGTGACAGTGTTTATTCGTTTTCTCAGGAATGTAACTTAGCACACTGGTCATGTGCGCCCTAGAAGCTGGCAACTGAGTCGATTATTAATGACTCCGACTCCTGGTTGATTCCAAAGACCACCTCCGACTCCGACTGCTGGCAAAACTGTTGGTTCTAACAAGCTCCAACTGCGAGTTCGCAGCCCCGGCATGTTTGCGGAGCCGATGATTTTTTTGCGACTTCGACTCCGACTCCGTTTTCGACCCCGTAGCCCTGCCCCATACAAGCCTGGATCCGTATCCCCTACTCCTGGACGTGATCTTATGTCACTATTGCTCTTCAAAATGCTATATTCCTTCAAGTTATCATTGAAAAGCATCTCGCGGTAGCTTTTGAGCGTTAGAACTCGAAAAAAACGCCCCCGGAAAGCGCGTAGTAATGTTCTATACATAGGCCGGCCGCGGCGGGAGCACCCCAGTGACGTCATCCGGGGCCGGTAGGGGGAACGTAAAAAATTCCCTAATGAACCTACCTGGTATATAGGGCCAAAGTTTGTCGTACCGCGGGCCAAAACTGAGCGGTATAAAAAGTCCACTGTGCCTGTACTCATAGATCTAATGAACAGGATGTGATCCCCACGTAGATATGTTCGGAGCTCTTTTGAAATGCACTGTGTTTTTAATTTTTGTGATGCTTTTCACTTCTTCATGTGGTGCCACCATTGCACAGCTCATGTACGGCCTTTTTACCAGTCGTTGACTGTCACGTGGTCAAATAAACCTTTATGTATGTATGTATGTATGTGGCCTTGGGTCAGAGGAAAAACTATTTTCATTGTGTGTCAGTGTCGAGTCACTTTGTTTATGATACGAAAATAAACATTGTTTGGCTGGCTAATGAAAACTTTTCCCGTTGCAGTACGCAACAATTTATGAAAATAGTTAATTGCTTCTCGATTGCCAGCATTAACGTAGGATTAACGTAATGCTTGTCTAATTTTATATTCGAAACTCGCTTGCGCACTACCATCAATGAGTTGGTTCTTTCAATGCGTACCACATATAACGTTAACGATGAGTTACAGCGTAAATGAAAGGCCAACACCGGCACCTCGGCGCAGTCTGGAGCCTGGTTATCGACCTACTCCTCTGCCGCGCAGCAGTCGAAGCTGGCGAACGATCTCCGAGGTGGCAACCAATGAAGAGAGCGTAGCGAGTGTGAGCGATGCGTCGATGTTTCAAGAGCAGATCGACGAAGAGGAGCGCCTTGAACGAGTAATTAGAGATGCCAAGTTGGAGCTCAACAGAGCGAAGGAAAGACACCGTATTCAGTTGTGTCGCGCTCGGCTGTCTCGGGCGCCGAGCGACGGCGACTCGTCTGTGACGTCTGTAGCGTCCGCCCGCGAACACGACGCGGATCACGACTTCATACAGACCAATACCGAACGACATGACAGTTTACCGATACCAGGACCTGAGCTAGGCCCGCCACCGACGCGACTGTACCTGCAAGAAGCAGTGAAGCTGGACTTCACCACGTTTGATGGGAAGTACGAAGAGTTCCCGTTCTTCGAAGCACAGGCGAAGGAGGCGCTACAGCTTCACTATTCTGAGACACAGATCCTGCGACATCTAAAAGAGAGGTTAAAAGGAGACGCCTTCCACATAGTTCACGGAGCTCTGCTTACTGGTGGCTCCTTTGATGACGTATGGACGATCCTGAAGGAGCGTTTCGGAGATCCTCAAATCATTGTTAACCAAACGGTGAGGAAGCTCTTGGACAGTCCACCAGTGAGGGAAGGTGATGTCGATGCACTAGAGCGGTTTTCGACCGAGATATCTAATGCGATAGCAATCATCAGACACGTGGGCCAGTCTAATGAGCTGAACAACCTGCAGGTGATTCAAGCCCTGACGAGCAAGCTGCCTCGGGACAGTCGAGCCGAATGGGGATCCTACGGCCGCATTAAGACCGAGGGAGGCTTGCTGACCTGTGATTTATTCGCTGCCTTCCTGAAAGGACACATCAAGGACCGGCGTTTCTGCAGCGGCGCTGGTTATCAGCCGCTCGCCAGCAAGAGTCGAAGTCTGCCGAATCAAAAACGGACAGAAACGGACAAGAACCGGATGACGTCACGCCCTCGTCAGACGACATGCACAAACACCGAACAGCTGAAATGCTACTACTGCGATAAGTCGCACTACATTCAGCGTTGTCCAGAGTTCAAGGCCCTGGGAGTGGACGAGCGCCATCGCTGGGTCACTGAACGACGTGGCTGTCTGCCATGTCTGTCCAAGACACATCCGACCGGTTCGTGCCACAGAAAACGAGCTTGTGGCATTGACGGGTGCTGTGAGCTTCATCACAGAATGCTTCATGGCGCAGCGTCATCACCTGAGGTGATTGGCGTCACTCAGGGTGCCGCGGCGTCCTGTGTCATGATGAAGACCTGCGTCATCAATATAGTGACGCCTGAGGGAAGACGCCGGTGCCGAGCCTTCCTAGACGAAGGAAGCTCGGTGACGCTTATGGACAGGTCACTGGCTGACGAGCTTCAGCTTTCAGGACCGGAAGGACTCATGGACATGAAGACGGTCACTGAGGTGAAAACAGTGGAGACGATGACAGTCGACCTGCGCATTGAAAATCCCGAGAACGGCCATAAATTCAAACTGAAAACCGTCACATGTGTCCGAGATTTAGCCCTGTCACCTCCAGCTGTTAGCGACAAACGGCTGAAGACGCTGTACCCGGAACTTCAGGAGCTAAACCTACCGGAGCTCAACGAGGCCCCGAAGATCCTGATCGGTCTGGACCAGGCGGCACTGATTGCCGCACGTGAGGTGCGCAGGACGAGCAGGAAGAACGGCCCGCTTCTGCAGCGAACACTCCTGGGATGGACTGTGACAGGAAGGGTGGTCATGAGACATGACACCGTGAAACACCCACCAGAGGTGAACTTTCTCCACACAGAAGACATGTGGAGTACGGAGCAGTTCGGCTGCAAGTACGACTTTGAAACGCCTTTCAGCCCAGAGGACAGAAAAGCGGACAACATCCTGAACAGCGAGGTGTACCACGACGGCACGCGCTGGGTGGCCCCGCTGCTGCGGCGAGATCGTGACGAGCCATTCCCACCCAGCAGACAGATGGCTCAGAAGAGAGCAAAGGCTTTTGAAAAACAGATGGAAAAGTAACAGATACAGAAAGAAACAGATGTTGCGTACTGCAACGGGAAAAGTTTTCATTAGCCAGCCAAACAATGTTTATTTTCGCATCATAAACAAAGTGACTCGACACTGACACACAATGAAAATAGTTTTTCCTCTGACCTCAAAAATCGACGAAAATGTACAAAGGGTGACTGTGAAAAATCAAAATTAATCACGCGACAAATAAGGTGACCTCCGGGTCAAGAGAAATGAAATGACTTTGATCGGCACTTTCAGGTAAACAAAAATAAAACGAGCAAATAATAATAAATCGGCAACATCCCGGCCTCTCTGAAAAAGCCAGAGTTTCAGATACCTGCAGCCGATTTTCACAGAGACACAGCGTACCATTTGAAAAGCTACTCGCATGATCAGAAGCGCCTAGTCCCGTCGTGGGATGACAATAAGTGTTCGTGAGAATCGTACAGTTCACCCGTTCGATGCGGAAATGTTCGTGCGTGCTCGTGATCGTTCACTCGTTTTCGTACTCGTTCTCTCTCGTCACCCGGAGGACCATAAAGTTATTGTTCATATATGAAAAGGTCTATTCTTGATTGAAACGGAAACGGTTAAAATGCACAAAATACGGCGGTCACAAATGCGGTTCACTGAATCGTTCTCGTAGGGCCCCGTGGCCGCGTCGTACGTAAGGCCACGTCGGCCACGTCGTGCACCGGGCCGTCGCGCACCGGTGGAGTCCCGTCGAAGACTGTCAGGCCCCCGTCCCGTCTCAGCCCTCGTGGTACGCACAACACGTGGGCATGAGAACCAGGACAGGGGCCAGATGACACATATGTGAGCGGCGTGGCGCGGCGGACCGACCGCCGCGCTCCGAGCGCCGGCCGTCTTTGCGAAGATATCAAAAATGCCTATTTGCTCGCTAACATAGCCGGCCCGGTTTTTCGCGATCATCCGCGGAAAATCCAACAACTAGCGAGCAATCGTTCAAGCGTCCCGTACGCACGCACACACTCGTAACGATCCGTTCAACATGCGCGATATACATACACTCACATACAATACGCATTACGCACTACAGAGTCTGGCCGGGGCGGAGGTCATTCCTGACAACAATCACGCGCCCAGTCGTAAAACTATACGACGGCGCGGTGCCGGCCGCCGGTCACTGTCACCGTTGTCACGCACTGACGCATGTCGTTAACTACGAACACTCGCTCGAGAGGCACTGGCGGCAGTGACAGTGCCGTCACATTGCCGACACACAAACACCCACCACCCAGCGTACAACACATAACACACATTGCATTACCGAACGGAGCGGACGCGAACAGAAACTAGCGCTAACATGGGCGTGGTACCATAGACTAATCTAACACTGCGCACTCTAAGGACGTAAAACTAGCTCATTCGTAGACCGACCGGCCAAGTGGGCCGGGAGGGACACTGTCACAGTGAACGCGTAGCATCGTCACACGGCTCACAGTTGATAGCTAATGGCTGAACACTAAACACAAATGACCATTGACCGCGGACAGAGTGAGCGGCTCACTCTCACACGCACACACACACACAGACACGCTTACACCGCGAATGACGAGGGCAGGAAACACTAATAGATGTCCAGATCTCGACACTGCTCGCCGGCGGCACGGCAGGGTCGTAAACGACTCACTTCAGTCGTCCCACGCGCGCGCATATTATCCCATCAATACTGTCCGTCACCGTCGCACTCGAGGCGGCAGAGGCGGTTGACAGGCCGCCTGTATTGGCCGGTGGCAGTCGTCGCATCCACGGCGCGGATACGACCGTCTACACCGGGGTCGTACACTCCGCTCTTCCCATCGGCCGGTGTCCACGCGATACGTCTCCGTCGGTCAGCCGCACTGGTTCGCCAACCCTGACCTCGGTCGTGTCCATGATCGACATGCAGTGTGCGGTCAGCGTGCGCGGGGAGACACTCTCGCCGCCGGCGTCGCCAGGAGCGATCATGCGGCTGCGTGTTCTTCCGCTTCCAGCGACGGCCACCGACTCTGAGCAGGCCGCCGGAGTCCATGAGGCAGGACGAGAAGTCACTGCCGTTTACGACCGGCTCCGCTCGCTCGGTGACGCACGCTGTCACCCTCGTCTCGTCGTCGGAGAGGACGGCCGGGCCGGACCGCGCAGCTGGACCTCGTATCCACGGTCCGCCGGGGGCGAGGTCCGTCCCCGGGCCGCCTCTGCTGAAGATGTCGGCCGGGCCCGGCGGCTCGGCTGCGTGACACCACTGGGTCGTCTCTGATGATTTCTGGGTGTGAAGGTCAGCGACTGCACTCGTTTTATCACTGACACGAACGTGATTGACAACGTGTTCACCATCGAGCACCGAGCGTTCCGACGCCCGCCCGGTCACCGTCCATCCCAACAGCGTTCTTACGGCGCACGGCGTTCCCGTCGGTCCCTCGATCACTTCCCGCGGCACAATAAGTTCGATGACGTCGGTTCCCAGGAGCACCTCCACTGGGCCGTGGGTGGCGCTGGGGAGATCCAGGTCGTCCAGGTGCGGCCATTTCTCCTTTGCCACTGTGCAGTCCATTGCCTTGGCTGACACGTTTAACGTCGGCGTCGTTTGGGCGTTTCGTATACGGTGTGCCCTGCCGTCGCCGCCCACAGCCTCAACGGCGAAGGATACGCGTCGTGACGTCGTCGTTTGGGTTCCACTCAGCGTACTCAGCACCAATTTGTCGGTGGGCCCCGAGATGCCGAGTCGGTCACACAGGTCGTCGGTGATCAGTGTGATCTGACTCCCGAGATCCAGGAGCGCGTTCGTGGTGCGGCTACCTGCCGGTTCATTTACGGTGACGGGCACCACCTGCAGGAGAACATCACTGCGAGGCTCGGCCGATGCGGTGCCGACATGTTTGGCAGATGACGGCGTACCATCATCGGAATCGCGCAGCGGAAACACTCGTCCTCCATTGTGTAACAGCGTGTGATGACGCCTGCCGCAGTGCTCCGCGTCACATCGTGCATCACTGGGACACGTGGCGCTGATGTGATCGCGACCCAGGCAGTTAAAGCACAGTCCGTTTCTCCCGACGAACTCTGCCTTCTCACTCACAGTCAGCGCGAGAAATTCGTCACAGTGCTGGAGGTCGTGTGTTTGCTGACACATGGCACACCAGTCGCTGTTCCCGTCCGCTGCAGATGACTTTATGGCAGCTGTCCTCTCCCGCTTTACAGCCGCCGGCGTGGGCCGCGCCGACGTGGTGGTAAACACGCGTCTCGGGCGGCACTCAGCGTCATTAGCCTCGACCTTCGGCAGCTGCTTGGTGGTCACGTTCAAGGCCAACCGACCAGCTGACACATGACGGCGAAGCCATTCGTCGAGATCGACGAGCGTCGGACGAGTGATGCCGTTTTCCACCATGTGCTCGCCCCACCTCCAGGCGAGGGAGGCTGGTAGCTTCCCAGTCACAGTGGTGACGTTCGTGGCGGCAGCGAGGTCGTGCTCGTAGTGCAGACACTGTAGGACGCTCACCGCGGTGTGGAGCTCACGAGACAGCTCTGTCAGCGCTGACAGGTCGCCATCTTTCACCGGCCTACCCAGCCTACCCAGAGTGCTGTTCACGGGCACCTGCGGTAGCTGCGGTAGCTGCGGCTCGGCGGTCAGCCGGGTAATGACGTCACAGAAAGTGGGGATGGGGCGGGTGGTGTGACGTCATACGGCTGCGGCCGGCTGCGGTCGCCTGCGTCTCCTGCGGTCGAAACGATCCGACCGCAGCGGCCGCAGGAACCATTTGTCATGCAAAGTGGCGCGGCAGTTGCGCATTCGTGTAACTTGGGCGGAAAATTGGCACGAGCCCTGATCGGCGGCCACTCTTGCCGACGCTCACATACGTGCACGTTACCCCGGCAACGGGCTATTGACCAATGAGAAGCGAGAAAAGTGTTACGTCACTGCGATTTTTCATATACCTGTGCCCCCGGACGTGACGTAGTGTGCTCGCGCGCGTGCAGGGTCTCTGCGATCGAAAAAGAGCGCTAGCAGCGCGCCACTCGACGCCGCAATCGTCTAAAGCGGCGTGTTAGTATGCTTTATTATGAATGATGTGTGTAAAAGTGAGTTTTTATGTTGTTAATGTGGAGGATATGGTTGGAATAAAATAAGTTATTTTTATTTCTATTGGTTGGAGTTTTTGTTCAAAAGATTTCGGTCTATAGCATTGATATTTACTGAAAATGCCTTCGTTTGAATAAATTGCAGATATTTGGCAACTGAAGTGTTAGGTACCTAAGCCTAAATGATACCTAAAAAGGTAAGAGATACCCTGATTATCATTTGAGAAACGAAAATATATGAATTTCCCTTATAAGGCTCGCTCAACACGCTACTCCTCGGTTTATGCCCCGAGGGTGTCCGAGGGTTCCCGTTAGTTTGTCGTTGGCGCTCGGCTCGCGCGCGAGCCGACGGGCGACGCCATCGCCCGTGACGTCGGCTCGCGGAATGCGTCATACCCTGACAAAATACCTAGCCGACTGCCGAACAGCGCTACGGCCGCCTCAGACGAACGCGTGATGACGTGCGCACAAGTGGGCGGGACTTACAGCATGCGATCTACCGCAGCTACCGCAGTTGCCGCAGGTGTCCGTGAACAGCACTCGGTTCTTTCATCCATGCAGCATCCATGGCCTTAGGACCCCTTCGTTTGGATTGAGATCTTTTGACAGGACTGGAATTGTGTGTAGTTTTACTATCATGACTGAATTTGAGTGGCCTTGGCAATACCAGTTTCCACCCTTCTTTACGTAAGTACCTACCTTCTTGCTACGTGCTGATTCTGATTCTAGAGGTTAGGAGAAATCTTTAGACAAATTTTTGTTGAAATGTTATAACTTCCTACCTACTGCGGGGTTGGACAATTAGGGGTTTGAGGGTGCTTGAGCATGGGCCCAGTAGTGGCTGAACACCTACATAACAATAACAGCAGTGTTCTGAAATTGGATTCTGGTTGGGTGTGACAATGATGACAAAAAAATCTAGGATGAGAAAAAAAAACATTGAAAACCTAGATCATTTTCTTCAAAAAGGCGTAATGTTACGCTGGTTGTTACTAAAAGAACTTGCCACTCCATACCTTACCTTACCTTAATTTGATCAGAATTTTAAAGGCCACTTGGCCTGTAGGGAACCGTTCTCATTGAGCTTGAACCCTTTGAGACTCGACTATCTCCAGTCAGGTACCAGGTACAGCCCTCTGCAAACTGCGTGGTAGGTATTCTTTCTTCGACAAAACCGAGAATAACGCTGATACTATGCTATCGGTCGCTCGGAAATCATAACAGCAAGATGTGCGAGACTCCGCACCTTAGATTGGCTTTACCATCGCATTCATTTTCCATCCAGTTTGGCAACAAAACCCAAAAGTTTATATTTGCCCCCAAAACAAACTTTTGCATTTTGTTGCCACACAAGGCATATAGGTACTTTGTTTAGTGTTATACCCAATCGAAGGAGTACCGTAAACCGGGGTGACAATGATACCTGGGGTGACTTTGATCATAGACCAATTTCGGGCCTAAAATGAGCACTTAGCTGCTGTGAACTGTATTTTCTATGCCAATGGTTAAATAAAGCAATGAAACATTATAGCATACACTTTGGGTCCCAGTCAGAATAATCATGTTGATGTCACAGCTTGTTTTTTTGTTGTCATTGGCATGAAGTATAAATTTGCTAGCATCTCCAGCAATAATAATGGTAAAGATGAGAAAGACCCCCAGCTAAAGAAAGAGAAAGGAAAGACTTAGATACTGAGGATGGAGGATGAGCATTGAGCCGATTTATCTCAATGGTAATTGGAGCGTCAATGGGAAGTGAAAAAGACAATCAACTGGGAGGGGCATGAGCAGTGTGGCAGGTGGTCCCACAGCCACCAGCAGACAAAGTATGATGTAGGACAGGTAGCCTGTGGCTTAGGACATCTGTGACTGTTACTTGATCTTGAAGTCAGAGGTGAAAGTAGCTAATTTTGCTGGTTATAGCTCTGTAATGTGAGTTTAGACCCGGAGCACGCAACTTTATTTTAATACCTCAATGGTTCATAGTTTTGCTGTAAAATGTGTGAGTTTTTGTCAAGCAAAGCCTTTGATTTTATTTAAAACATGTAAGTTTATCACACAAGCCCCTTCTGAGGGCTCCTATGGCATATATAAGGTGATTTTAATGTAGTGATCATAGTAACCCCAACCTCTGGGTGAGAATGATCATTTTTTTTGTAAAAAAATAAAATATTTATGATAAATTTCAAGACATTTTCTGTACTCAGTTAGATAGAGAATTGTCCAATTGGTATGATGAAACAGTTTCCAGAGTGAAATCTCAAGTGATATAGAAGATATTGTACCATAGGGGAGAGTGGGGTAAGATGCCCAGGGTGGGAAAGACGCCCCACCCCGTCTAGGGGCCAAACAAAGAATCGAACCCGGAAATTAATGTTCTTAGCGTAAAGCGGAAGCCTGCCTTGTTAACTGCACAAAAATTTGCGAAGCTCAGTTGGGCAACGGCTGGATGGTGAATGTATGTTTTTTATTTGCTGCTTTCAAAAAATATTTTGGTGTCAAAACATTGTAAATATCAAAGAAGGTAGATAATTTTTGCGTCCCTTGATATAGTCGTGATACATTAACCCGCGCGGGGCTGGGGTCTCCAGCCGAACGCGCGGGGCTGGGGGGGGGGGTAAATTTTACCCCCCCTGTTATCTCCCGAACTAATGGTCCGATTTGGAAAATTCAAACGCCAATCGAAAGCTCTCATCACGAACTACTAAAAACATGTACTTAATTTAAAGTTTGAGGTCAAGGTCAAGGTCAGGTCAAGGGTACAAATTGCAAGTTTCTACAGTATCGGCCTTGCACCGTAGTTGCCGAAGAATGGAGTCATGGACTGAGACTGATCGCCCAAAACGTGTTCTTAGGCTACCAAGACAATATTCGTTGCATACAATATCATTCAGAGGTCAAGGTCAAGGTCAGGTCAGGTCAGGTCAGGTCACCAAAAAACAAAATATAGAAAAGGGCATGTGCGACACATGTTTTATGGGTCATTTTACTCATAGAATTCAATAGGCACACTCAATAAGTGATATGGACCACCTCTGGATGAATTTCAGGTCGAGGTCAGGTCAAGGTCAGGTCAAGTGAGGTCAAATTTTGAAGTTGGTTGTTAAGGCCTAAAAAGGTGTCTATCTGATGCAGTTTTTCACGGCGAATCGAATGGTGCTATTTTTGTTTCCGTACGAGGTCTAGAACTTCCAAAAAAGTCATTTTTCAAAAAAATTGTGTGTCGTGACGTCATAAAATTTTGAATAACTCCCACATTTTTGAACCGATTCTTCTAAAATTTGGTGTTTAGGTGCACATAGACCACTTCTCTGACATATATTCCGGTTTTTTCGATAGACTCAAAATTTTGGATTTTATAATGATTTTCCCAAAAAAGTCAGTTTTTTGAAAAAAATTAGGCCAAAATCCAAAATTTTCAAAAAACCGAGATAGCCATTTGACAGACAAAGTAAAATTACGTATAACCTTTTTTGTTACGTCTTGATTCCTTTAAAAATGAAGATGTTAGCGGCGTTTGAACTTTTGCCGTTTTTGAGGCGAAAATGGCGAACATGACGTCACTAAAACGTCAATTTCTCAAAAATTTTCCGACGGATTTCGCTCAAATTTCAGGGAACGTGTCAAATTGATGTAAGAAAAGGTACTGAAAGTTTGGCGGCGCTGCGCGCCGCCGTTTTTGAGATATCACAAAAATTCGCGAGGGGGGGTAAAATTTACCCCCCCCAGCCCCGCGCGGGTTAACATGCGTGTACTGTGTCCCAAGCAGTTTGTTTCAGGGTGTAGTTTTATGGCTAACAAATTGTACAGTCTGTCTTAAAAGTACCGCGCAAAGTGACGGTGGATCCACCAAGCCTGACGGAGAAAGGGCCTGCTTTAATTTGAAAGTCACCGACCAATTGACCTAGGGAATGGACGAGGATGTCAATTGCTTCGGTGACCCAAATTTAGCAGGCCCTTCCTCAGTCAGGCTCGATGGATCCACCGTCACTTTGCGCGGTACTTTTAAGACAGACTGTACTGGTTTAATGGTACTTCGGTACCTTGGGGTAAGATGCCCCCTGTCCTGATGGGGAAAGACGCCCCCCTTAATCCGTAGGCTGTCCTTCAAGCAGCCCGTCAACCTATTACATGCTTGTGATGAGAGATAAAAGCCGATCTGGGACTATTAAGAGTCCAGTACGGTCGGGTGCTCCCCATGCCGGTCTCTCGGCCCACACAACGACTCACACAGCGACTTTTTGGGCGGCATCTGACTCTGAGAGCCCTCACGACGGCCTCTGTGGGCCCCATTATTGGCTCCAGGGCCCCTCACGACATCCTTTGAGGGCTCCCACGTTGGCTTCACGGACCGCGCTGGCATCTGAGGTCCTCACGATGGGCTCGAGGGCCCTCAAGCATCATGAAGACCTATAAGGCCCCACAGTGGTCTCCGAACGCTACCACGGAGGCTTGTTTGGCCACGCTGGACTATGATAGCCCTAACGATGACCTCTGAAGCCCCTTACGACCACTTTTGAGGGCCCTTACGATGACGTTTGGTGTCTACTGCAGGCTCGAAGGGACTACTGATTCGTTCAGGCGATTCACGTGCCCATTTATGTCACTTATAGTGCAGGGGGCATCTTACCCAACGCCAGGGGGCGTCTTTCCCACCCTGTGGGGTAAGACGCCCCCTTTCACATCTTCAGAAAAATGCTTAATAGCAAAAAAAGTTATCATATTTCAGGCACAAAAGTGTGATATTTTTGGAGAAAAATGATGTTGGCTTCCGATGAAACTCCAAGTTTTTGCTTTCCGATCGTCATTTTCGAATAATATATGACATAGTAAAACCCTGGGCATCTTTCCCCACTCTCCCCTACTGGTCAAAAGTGATAAAAAGTCACCCCGGTTTACGGTAGAGCATGGCGCCTCTATTTTCCGTGAGTTTCGACCGACTGACAACATAGTCATTAGTCTTTGAGTTATTACTGGTTTTGTCGAAAAAAAAGAATACCTACCACGCAGTCTGCTGAGGACTGTACCTGAAGTTTGCCCAGTGGGCGTCGAGTTCAGATTTGAACTGCTCAACAGAGCCGGCGCCAACAACTGACATGGGCAGGCCGTTCCAGTCATTGACCACCCGGGCACTGAAAGCCTGTCTCCTTGGTCTTGACTCAGCTCTGGGTTTTGCGATTTTCCATGGATGGCCTCGGGTGCGGTCGGATGCAGCGGCAGTAAAGAACTTCTGGAGCCAGATCAACCCCTCCATGAAAGATTTGGTACACCTGGATCATGTCACCTCGGCGTCGCCGATAAAACAGTGATGGCAATTTCAGTGCCTCCAGAGGTTCCTCGTACCGGCGGTGTCTGAGAGAGGCTACCAGGCGGGTTGCCCTTCTTTGGACGCGTTCGACTAGAAGTTGATCACCTCGATTGAATGGGCCCCAAGCTACATTGCCAAACTCCAGGTGAGGGCGAACGAGAGTCAGCAGGGGAAGAGTACACTCATCCATCAATTCGAATGACCGCCTGGTCACTGCTAAGATCTGGTTGGCCTCTGCCATGGCTGCGGATGCTTGCCTCCGGAATTTTAGGGAGGAGTCTACCAGAATGCCAAGGTCCCGTTCAGATTCAGTCTCTTCCAGACACACTCCTCGCATTGTGTATCGGAGTTTGGGATTATTTGTACCCAGATGCAGAACCTTAAACTTCTCTTCATTGAACGGGAGCTGCCATTTGTCAGACCATGCCACAGGTGCATCAATATCAGCTTGGAGGGCTAGCGCTCCCGTTGCAGTCGCTGCTCCATCAGCCAGTAGGGAGGTTTGAGGTCGAGTAGCGGTCTGTCTTCCATCAACAGGCTGCATTGGTAACATTGTTAAGCTCTCGAGCGAGGAACATATTGAATACAATTAGATTAGTAAAATAAATTGACCTTTTCCTCGACATTCAAGATGCAAAAAGCTGAATAATGTATTAAAAAAACGGTGAGCTTTCGGCCACAAAAAACGGTGAGCTTTCGGCCACTGGCCTTTATCAAACCAACGTTACAGCAATTGCTGCAATTACAACAAATTGCTGTAACATTGCACAGTGGCCCTTTTTCAGAATTAGCACGCATTAATTCCCACATTACCTGAAAGTGGTGCAAGACATCACCACGTGATCAAGGACGTATTCCCTGCCAATGCAAAGAGAAGAAAAGAAACGAACTGCCCAAGGAGATTCGGTCCAACAGCGACAGGCCGCTCGGCCCAAGATTTGGCGCACGTTCGCGCGGCTCGCCCGCCGGCCGGCCCAGGCCGCTCCGAACGCAAGTGTGGCGAGCCCGCCACTCGCTAGCCGACCGCGCTGCACTGACTGCCAGGACGCCCCAGGGCGTCACGTGACCGCATCTACAGGCCAGCTGTTGCCAGCCACCGTTATCGGCCCCGGCCGGGCAGCAACTAAGGTCAGCGCGACGTGAACAATACAAACACATAGGTAGGCGCTTTTGCCGTTAGATCTTAAAGGTAGTGTGCCAGCTTTCCTGGACCGTATGGAGTTAATGGCCCAGATAAGGAGAACCGGATTTTTAGAACTTATCCATACCTTCAAAACTCATGGAAACGTCTTAAATTCTTCAAATTTTGAGTACCCCAGTGCGAAATTCGCCCCGACGGGTTGTCGGTCGTACCCCAACCACATTTCACACCACTATGAACAATAAATGCACACACTGAAATCGCTATTGCCGATAGGCTCATCCAATCAAGTTTCGATAAACCCGTTCATCATCTCCTGCGGTTTCGAACACGCCTGTTAGGTGGTGCGGTAGACCGCGCCCAAAGCCAGGGCCCCGGTAACGTGAGGTAGCCGAGTCGGGGCAGCGTGCGCTGACCCAAGCCGGGCCGCGCGTCCTCCCGGTGTCATGTGATAGATAGCCCGGGGCTGCCCGCGGGGATGCGGTAGACCGCGCCCAAAGCCGCGGCCCCGGCTTGGGTCAGCGCACGCTGCCCCGACTCGGCTACCTCACGTTACCGGGGCCCTGGCTTTGGGCGCGGCTTCTGCTCATACTTTGCGGTGCGGTGGTGGTGCGTCGGGCCGCGCGCTCTGACTTCGGCCAAGAAAAATGCGCCAGCTGATCATTGTCATTTCTGCCACTTTAATGTGGTGAGATGGGGTCATAACTTTAGAGACGGCTGTTTCATATCAATTATTTTACATAAAATAATATTCCAAACCATAAATTAATGTTTGACAGCCAAATTAAAGAAACAATACCAATACAGGCTTACAGTTTGAATTCGACATTGTGTTTAGACACAATCAAGGCTATATAAACCAGGTAGAACGCTCCCGACGAAAAAGTGGTGACAAGCGGTAATTAGTTGCCGCGACCCTCACTTGTTCATGGAAATACGCGCAAGCAGCATTTACATGCTAGCGGAAATCGACCAATCAGCGTTCGGTATTACTCGACGCTGATTGGCTCCTTGCTCGTGACGAAATTGCGGGGGACTGCAGTTATTTCCTATGGCGTTTAACGTACTTTGGATCTTTGACGGGTTCTCATTTATTCTCTGTTACGTTTAGGGTCATGTTTGGGTCGGCAATGGCTTTCCACGACCATTGGCTATGTAACGGTACCACATAACCATGATATTCTGCTATATTTCCGGCGTCATAATAGCAAAAAGTACACCGGTACATTGCGAGTATGGATTACGGCTGATTGGGGTCATATATGCCGGTATATGGTCGTACGAGGTTCATGTAGGCCAAATGTAGGCCCATCGGGAACCGAAAAAGGCCGATATGGGGCCGGCGTAGCCCCATCAGAGTCCGAATTGGGCAATAAGGGGCCGGTGAAGATCGATAAGGGCCGGTCAAGAAGTACAATAATCTGGTGTGAAATAATTTCGGGGGCATAGGACATTTTAGGCTGGCCAAGGACCAGTTAGACCCAATTAGGCTCATTAATGTCCCATTAATGTCAATCAGAGAGGTCTTTAGACCAATCAGGGTACAGTCAACAGTGTAGGTCCATCATGGATCGATATGGCGCCATCAGAGTCCCGGGTGTAGGTCTATATCATATTGTCATGGGTGTCCCCCATTCCCCACCATGGGCATTGAATCCCCCACCGAGACCCGTCTGAGAATGGTGTGTGGCGGATCACAACCCCGTTAAGATCTATGACTCTTAACCCATCCATTGCCATTAAGGCCAACTCAAGTTGCATCGGTTTCAAAATTACGGTAGCGACCATCACCGCTGCCGAATAGGCCTACGGCGAGCGGCAGGCATGGGCGGATCAAGTTCGGAATCTGTTCCAGTAACGAGCAGGCTACAGGACTCGTTGGTTCTTGTGAATGTTCATCATCTCATACAGTATACACGTCATTAGTGTCTGTTACTCGGTTGTATCATCCAAATCACGATCACGACATCACGACAAACTGAGCCTGAGGTTTTATGGCCGACAAGGCAAGTAACTTAAACCGCAGCATTGTGAATGACATATTGTAAAGCTCGGGCAGCTCGTGAAAGCTAAATAACAAACAAACAAAACACAAAACAAAATACACGCTTAAACACGGCAAAGCGCAAGAGAACTAAAGGTAACCACTTTCTGAAAAAGCAAATAAAAAACGTGCAACGATCCCAATTAGTATTCCAGGAGCGATCACCACCACTGTCTGTTCGCCAATCACCCATTGCGCGAGGCTCGCTCATTGATCTACATTCTACAGGGTGGAGCTGGCATGCTGCCGGAGCTGCCTTGCAGCACGACGCAGCACCGCCTCAGCTTTCTTCCCCTCATTGAGCCACCGGATGCGCAGCCACATACGAGTGCTCACATACTTCTGTGCCACGCGCCTGTGCAGTCCGGGAGAGCAGGCCTCCACACAGGCTGTCAGGTAGGACTTCAGTCCGTTCCTGCTGGAGTACCGATCTCCCATTTCCTCCAGGAACATCTTCTCCAGCTGCCGAGCGGTGGCATACCAAGTCTCGCTGGGGATGGTGAGGTTTCCGCGGCTCAGAGTTCGAATCCAGGCAGCTGGCTGAGACCCAGTGGACACTGGCGCCACAGAAGTTTTACTGCCCAGGGTGGGGTCGAAACGGTGGCACTTGGCAGCCACGTAGCCCGCCACGAAGGACAGCGCCTCCTCCAGTGGCTCTCCGGGGATGCCAGGATCCTTGGAGGCCTGGTCGTCCATCGGGTCGCAGGGAAGCGACTCGAGATCCTCAAAAACAATCTCCAGATCATCGACGGCGTGGACCACTTCCTCTTGAGGCGCACCCAGGGCAGCCATTGCCTCGTTCGATAGGAATGGCGCGGTGTCCCCAGGCTGCGTTGCCGTCGGCCTCTCCTGGGCAGAGGGGCCGAGGTTCAGGGTCTGCCCAGTGAGGAACTGAGCCCGCTGGCGGTCCGGCTGTTCCATTTGGACGGGCGTGCTGCTCGCAGAGCCCGTCCTCACCGCGATGAGAGGCTGCGGCGCCATCATCAGGTACCGTAGGCGCGTCTGCATCTCCACGGCGTTGGGGTGGGTGTTAGCGCCGGACATGGCGCGAAGCTGTGAAAAGCAGTTCTCCACCAGGTCCTGGTTTACCCGCGCCGTTTTCAGGTACGTCACTCCAAGGTCACGGACGTCTGACAGCAGGCCTGGCAGGGAGCGGCAGTTCCGGATGATTCCGTCTTGGAATGGCAGCTTGGAGCTCGGTCTGCGCGACTTCTTCCTTGGCTGTGCGTCGTCGCGGTGCTGTCCCACTTTCACCGTGCCTCGCATGAGAGCCTCCATGCTGTGAAGAGCATCACGCTGCTGCTCTTCGATGGCAGGCTGAACGCCAAAGGCACACCGCTCGGCCTTGACGTCAGATTTACACCGGCTGTTCAGGACATCAAACCATCGATCGCAGATGCGCACCGCTCGTGCCTCACTGGCTCGGTGAGGGAGGTAGAGTTCGGCCGCTGCAGCCACGCTCTCGGAGAGTAGCTGGACCGCGAGGTACACTCTCTGGCTGGTCTGACCGCGGGCCTGAAACCAAATCGAAAAAAACTATGTTAGAGCGTGGTACACCAATACCACCACCCAAAGCTGTCCAACGAAAGGACGGCAATAATGCACAGACAATAATTGGTGAAAGTAAATACAACATTAATCGACTCGTCAATCGTCATTCGGCACGATTTTCATTGTTAATAGCGGAAGGAACTGCAGATGCATACATTTAAAACTAGCCAATGATAGTATGTTTATACATACAAGCTAAACATTAAACGATGTCAGGACCGTAATCTCAGAAAATAGGGAATACTCTTTCCAAGAGCTATAGGAAATATCAATATGGTTTCGAGGCTGATAATGAATTAAATAATTGAATAATGTTCTTGAATAATTGTTATCGATTACGAAGGCGCTACGTAATAATGGTTTCGTGCTGAGAAATGATAGAAAATATTTCACGAGAAATGGTCAAGGGAGCCGGCAACGAGAGGACCATAGATATTATAGAGTGAATGGAGAGGTGATAGAAGTTTAAGCGGTGTTCGGGTAATGTCAAATCGTAGTGCTTTCCTGTGAAAATGAGAGGGAGATACAGGCAGACAGGCAGACAGACAGACAGAGCCAAAGACAAACAGGCACAACCAGGCGGACAGACAATTATGTCAGAGATGGATAATTACGTCAATGTGGCCACGACCCAGCCGTGGGCACAGCCTCAACTGCCCATCACTGGCCAGAGCAGAGGGTCTCGATGGCACCGATGAGTCGCGTTGAGTGCTCCCGGTACTCGTGGATGCGTCCCGGCCGGAGCTGTTCGGAGGGACCCCGGCTCCGGCGTTGTCGATCCTCCAAACCTCCTCAAAGAAGCCGGCATCGAGGACAGTGCCGTCGGGGAGCTCTAGGCCCTTGCCAAGCACATGTGTCCTCACCAGCTTCAAGAGGTGCGGTGAATCAGCGAAGACCCACACTTTCCTGAAACAGAATAATTAGGGCATTTCGTTGTTGTTTCATATAAAACAGGTAAAATGATGCCGTTAATACAGTTTGATCAATAGATTTATAGCTGTTGTATAACACTGAAAGCCCCATACAATTTAATCGTTGTGGTCAAAATAGCACAGCTCCTTTCACGTAGATGAAACTGTGCATAACTGAACACGGCTCGTAAAAATCTCTTACACAAGTAAAATGTGACTGACGCGAAAGAGCAACGACGATTTGATTAGATGATGATGACGAGAACATACCTGAGCGGGTCCACTGGGTTCGAGAACCAGGTGCGCAGAGGCCCATCACCGAACGCACTGGTGATCCCAAGTTTGGTCCACAGACTCTCGTTGGGAGACGCCATATCGCTAACAGCTGCCATTACTTTGAGGCCGATCTTCTCAAGCCGAAAGATGATGTCGTTCAGGGTGTTTGGCGCCATGTTGGTGTCGAAGTCGTAAGCTATGGGCTGCTTCCATGCAGCCGTGAGGCCTCGCACCATCACAAGTTGCATCTTCGACGCCTCCAGAATTACATCTCGGGCCTGGTCATAGCACACTCTGCCATCCAGGCTGACATCGTCGAACGCAAGAACGCAGAGCTTGTCCATGTCGCTGAGATCAGTGACAGTAGCTTCGAGCACTGCCAAGGCTGGCTCCATCAGCCCGGGCGTCATGCGGAAATCGCGCGTCCACTCAGATAGGGTGGCGAACGAGGGCAGTGGGATCCGCATACACTCTTTCACGTAAATGTAGGCCCTCCGCGACAGAATGCGTAGGCCCAGAGCGGTTCCCACATCCTTGTCAGACCATCTGACGCGCTTGCCTGACACCAGAGCGCGTCGCTGAGCGGCAGTCAGCGGGCCGGCTTCAGCAAGGGCACTGGCATGCGAAGAGGAGGCTTTTAGAACGGCGTTTCGCGTGCGAAGCACTTTGTTCTGTTCGCGAAGCCTCTTTGCTCGCTGCTTGGCCCGACTAGTTGTTTGCTGCAGGCGTCGGTGGTGCGTCTTCAGCGCATTTTTTCTGCGTGTCAGGTGTGCCTCTTTGGCCTCGAGTTCTGCCTCCTTCGCTTCCAGCTCTGCCTTTCGCTGCTCGAGCTTGAGAGCAGCGTCGCGCATCATCTGGTCGTTGATCCAGGGTGCTCCAGGATCCAGGAAGGATGGATTATCGGAGCTGGGAAAGATCAAAGGATAGTCACGTTGATGTGCAACTAACACGTTCCAATCTATGTCACCGATGGACAGCAAAAAAACGTCCAAGTCGGAGCCATAGTCAGGCACATGTAGCGCTAAATGGATTAATTGGAATGGGATCAGGATAAATGACGAGCTATGCAACTTTTCAACTCAAAATCCGTTGGTACCAGCATCGGCTAAGTTGACAATGACTCATCAAATGAGGATTCGTAAATGCTATGCATCATTCACCTAACCTTTAAAGAATATAGTCAGGTCAATTCAATGAACAAAAAGATGCTTTACCAGCAACGTGTCAAAGTTTGCAGCATATTTGGCGAAATGACAGCCGACTACATAGCCTTTAAAATACAAGTTGACAGAAATATTGTACCTAACTATAGACATTTGACACATCGCCTGCATTTCATACTTAACCCGCGCCCCAGCATAAGATTGTAAGAAATTATATAGTGGGAATGACAGATATGTAAGCATTAACATAAATAGAAGGTGTTGTGCCCTCGGGGTGGGGGAGGTTTGGACAAACCTGCGTCCGCCTCACTTGCGGTTTATTCCCCCACACACACAACAGAAAAACACCTGGCACTATCTCGGCCAAGGTCAAGAACGGAAGAACTCTAGAGGTGACTCGACACCTCTTCGTCCTTACGACCCAAAACAGTTGGCAATCATAAAGAGAGGGGGTGAACAGGTTATGCGAAATAAAGGATCGAAACTGAACAAAGCCATTTCGAACCAAACATATTACTAACTAAGTGTCGATCGTAATATAAAATCATAATCACCGCAACGACCAACACTATCAACAAAGGCGTAAAACTCAAACGATAATTGCGCGTCCGCGCCAATCGGCTGCGCGGTCAGCGCCACTAAATTAGTTCTCGCCACAACACCACCCCTCTCTTTAATGGGAAACACTCCCGCTTCTTAAGCCTCCCACTATCCGCGGAAACCATTACACTCACAGCTATCAAACGTAACTTACGATGATAGCCCAATCCTAAACGCTACTCGCCCGGAGTGAACCGATCTGGGCCTCTGCGACCCCGCCTGCTACGGCGGGGCCCTGGCTCACCCGCCGGGGCGGTACACTTTGGGGTTGGACAGCGGCTGTGAGCAGGACTTCTGAGTGCCGAGGAGCGGGTGCGCACTGGCGTGGGGCGGGGCTCAGGAACTGGATAAGCACCACCGCCGGGACCACCCCGCGGCGCGGCCGCGTCCTCACCTTCTGGCCGGCCGGGCACCAAGCGTCTAGCGTGGACACGCTCGCCGCTGGTGAGCCGGTAACTTACCGGGCCAGTCCTCCGGCTGATCTGCACGGCCCTCTGGCCCTCCACACGTCCACTCACCGGCTGTCGGACCCGAACCCAGTCGCCGACGCGCCAGCGCGGGGCGCCGGTCGACCCCCGGTCATATCTGGCTTTGTAGGCCGCCTGATACTTTTCGTGTCGCGCACGAAGCTCACCGCCGGTGTCCGGCGAGGAAACCTCACCTGGCACGACGTCCAGCAACGTCCGTGCCTCCCGCCCCCGCATCAGCCGGAACGGCGTCTCTCCCGTACCTGCGTGCGGGGTAGCCCGGTACTCAGTGAGGAACCGCCTCAAGTACTCCGAGCGCGGCTCCCGGGCCAGCCGGGCCGACTGGATGGCGTCTTTTACCGTCCGATTCAGACGCTCCACCATGCCGCAGGACTGCGGAGAGTATGGTGAGCTGAAAGTCTGCTTGACCCCCAGTCGGGTCAAAAAATTACGGAGTTGGGCAGACCGGAACGCTGGACCGTTGTCGGAGACCAGCTCCAACGGCAACCCCTCGCGGCTGAACACCGCCTCCAGGAAGCTGATTATAGACGCCGCCGTCGCGTCCCGACACAGCGCCACCTCTGGCCACCTGCTGAACATGTCGCACAAGACGATGCCGTACCGCTCGTGCTGGGGCCCCTGCATGGGCCCAATCACATCGATCATGAGGCGCTGCCACGGACCGTCCGGAAGAGGAATCGGCTGGAGAGGGGGCCGCTCCTGCCGCACGTGGCCGTCATGCTGCGTGCACACCTCACAGCTCCGCAGGAGGTCACGTACCTCCTTGTCCAGCCGCGGCCACCAGAACTGCGCGCGCAGGCGCTGCTTGGTCCTTGTCTCACCTTGGTGACCCTCGTGGGCGTTCCTCAGGACGCGCTCACGCAGCGCCGCCGGCACAACCAGTCGCTCGCCGCGGAAAAGCAGCGGTCCGAGCTGGGACAGTTCGTCTCTCACCTGGTAAAAACCAGTCGCCCGAGGATCGACATCCCTCTGGCGAGGCCACCGTCCGGCGAGGTACCCCCGGATCACGTCCAGACACTCGTCTGACGCCGAGGCGTCCCGCAGCTCCTCCTCCGTGACTGCTGCTGCTAACGACAGAGCCGCGATCTGGATAGAATCATCATCAGGCCACCAGGTCTCGGCGACCGGCAGACGGGACAGGCCGTCCGCCACTCCGTTCCGCTCCGACCTGACGTACTCGACGTCGAACGCAAACTCCAGCAGCCGGGCCTCCCACCTCGCGACTCGCCGGCCGACGCGGTTGGAGCCCTTGACACCGAAAATGGTGCAGAGAGCTTGGTGATCGGTTCGGAGGGTGAATCGCCGACCCCACAGGTAGTGGCGAAACTTCTCGACGGCCCATACACATGCCAGCGCCTCCTTCTCCACTACCGAGTAGTTGCGTTCGGCCGCCGAGAAAGACTTCGAGGCGTACGCAATGACCCTGGGCTGACCCGAGGCGTCCATTTGCGTCACGCACGCACCGCAGCCGACGTCACTGGCGTCAGTGGAGAGCACCGTTCGTAGCTCCGTGCTGAACATGCACAGTGCTGGTGCTTCGCTTATCGCGTCCTTGACGCGGCGGACCGCGCTGGACAGCGCCGCCGTCCACTCGAACTGGTCCGCCCGGAGCGCGGCCCTCAGCGGCTCTACTGCGTCCGAGAACCGCGGCAGAAACCGCGCATGGTACCCTACGGCACCGAGGAATGCGCGCAGGCTCTTTTCGTCCCGCGGCTCGGCCGCCTCCAATAACGGCCTGATCCGCTCCCGGTCGATGCGGACACCAGCTGACGAGACCAGATATCCCAGAAAGGAGAGCTCGCTCTGATTCGTCACGCTCTTGGGCCAGTTGACCCGCACCTTGTGGGCATCGAAACGCCGCAGCACTTCCCTCAGACGGGCGTCGTGCTCGGCCTGGGACGGCGCGTGGACCAGGATGTCGTCCAGGTATACCTCCACGCCTGGCACCCCCTCCAGCATGGACGCCATCACTCTCTGGAAGCACGGCCCGGCGCTCGCGAGGCCGAAGTTGACGCGCCGGAACCGGTAGAGTCCCTGATGACTTATAAAAGTCGTTAGGTCTCTGCTGTCAGGATGGAGCTCCAGCTGGTGATATGCATCCTTTAAGTCCAGCCTGGAAAAGACCTGAGACCCACTCAGGCGGTCAAGGACATCTTCGATCCTGGGGAGCGGGTAGCCATCCGTAATCACAGCTTTGTTGACCCGCCTCATGTCTACACACAGGCGGATGGACCTATCCCGCTTCCTTCCCACCACAAGAGGAGAGACCCAGGTAGATGCACTGACCTTCTCAATTATCCCTTGCTCCTCCAGCTCCTTGAGCCTGGCACTCACCTCGTCCAGCACTGCCAAGGGCAGCCTCCGCAGGGGCTGGCGCACTGGCGCCACCCCTGGGTCGATGGTCACCCGGTGTTGGTAGCCCAGGATGGCTGGCTGCTCTCCTGACGGAGAAACAGGTCCAGTCGGAGAGGCAGGTCCGGACGGTGAGGCAGGTTGACCGGCGTGAGGGCTGGCAGGTTCGGCTGGCCCGACGGGCGAAGGGACTGGGCTGGCATGACAGGACGGGTCTGTGGACACAGAGCATACACTGTCACCAATGATGCACACTTTGAACAGTTTCATCATGTCCAGGCCCATCAGAGCACGACCATGCGGCACAACATACACAGTTACATCATGACACTCCCCCCTGCATGACACATTTACACTTTTTACCCCTAACACATCTAACACACTCCCCCCATATGAGCACAGGCGCTCTGCTGCTGGCTCAAGGGCCCCAGGTGCCAGGTGTCTGGGGAGGAGGGACACTGGGGAGCCAGAGTCTACCGTGAACACGACCTCCCTCCCCTCCACCTGGGCTGTCAGAGTCATTGGTGATGCCCCGATTGCCAGCACTTGAACACTGGACACCACTCGCTTCTGGACACAGTGCTGGGCAAAGTGATTCACTTTCCCACATTTGGAGCACTTCACATTGACAGCAGGGCAACACTGGTCCCCTCGCCTGTGTCCAGCACGCCCGCACCCCCAGCACAGGCTACTGCTACTCCCTGCCGGCCTCTGCTGCTGAGGCTGTTGCTGATGAGTGGAGACCCGACCAGCAGCACGGGTCCTGGCCCCACCACGCTGAGGCCGCCGACGCTGCTGCTGCGCTCCCCGCGTGAGTTCGAATCTCATCCTTGTCGCCACTTGTTGTGCCCTCGGGGTGGGGGAGGTTTGGACAAACCTGCGTCCGCCTCACTTGCGGTTTATTCCCCCACACACACAACAGAAAAACACCTGACACTATCTCGGCCAAGGTCAAGAACGGAAGAACTCTAGAGGTGACTCGACACCTCTTCGTCCTTACGACCCAAAACAGTTGGCAATCATAAAGAGAGGGGGTGAACAGGTTATGCGAAATAAAGGATCGAAACTGAACAAAGCCATTTCGAACCAAACATATTACTAACTAAGTGTCGATCGTAATATAAAATCATAATCACCGCAACGACCAACACTATCAACAAAGGCGTAAAACTCAAACGATAATTGCGCGTCCGCGCCAATCGGCTGCGCGGTCAGCGCCACTAAATTAGTTCTCGCCACAACAGAAGGCATAACTGCAAACCCGTTATGAATTATGATTCATGCATGGAAAGTATCAAAAAACACACTTCATATTGTGGTGAAGAGTTTCACAGTAACATATTAAATGCGTTTGGCAATGAAGAGTCACACATAATTTGCACTTTAAGGTCTTCGAAAAATGTAGGAAAGGAAAATGTAATAAGGTGTTAAATGTCAAATTCGTACAGAAAAATGATTTGAAAAATCAAAAATTGTGAAATTTTTGCTATAATGCGTATAACTTGGCCATTTTTGAAGATATCTGGCTAAAACTTGCTAGAGTAAGTCATAAGCACGTGTTCTATCAATTCATACATATTCCGTTTTTTTCGAAAAGTCAAAAAGTTTTTGAAAGAAAGATGAAAATACAAATTTTGAATGTAAATATATATAATTTTCAGAATTTTCAAAATTTTGAAACTTCGAGATATCAGTTTGATAGCGCAGTCCATTCTGAGTCCTTTCATGCAAAGAAATTGGATCTAGCTCAAAAACTGAGCTTTTGGGAGCGATTCCCGTGGTTCAATGTTTTGCGTCGAAATCGGCCGAACATGACGTCACTCTGACGTCATTTCCGGCCGCCCTATGATAGATACGAAGTTCAAATTTTGACACAAGGTGTCAAATTGATGCAGCCGAAGGTACTGAAAGATTGGCGGCGATACGTCGAGCGGTTTAGAAGTTATTGCAGTAAAACGGGAAGGGGGCTATGAATATTGAATAGCCCCCCCCCCTCCCCCAGTGGGGCGCGGGTTAATCTAAGAATAGACTACGCTCGCTTCGCTCGCTCCGTAATGATCCTTCCATGTCTGAAATGTTCACTGTTGCAATGTTACAGGCTGCAACCGAATACTGAGACGCGCCAGAAGCAGGTGTCGGCGTGGCGCTCACTGATCCTCTCCTACTGTCGCCACCACGGCGTGTACGCGCTGGACGTGGCCCAGTGCGCGCAGTCGCCGCTCTTTTCTAACGTCGCCATCAAAC